TATGCAGTTTCACTGCAATGTAATTATCCTCTGTAGTATACATGTGCTCTCTCTATATATTCTTATTTTTATCAGTTCAGGAAAAGTCTTAGTCATAATCTCTTCAAATATTGCCTCTTCTCCATTCACTCTGTTTTTCCTCCTGGGACTCCAATTAGTCATATGTTAGACTTTCTCATTCTACCCTCTAAATCTCATAGCATCTCTTAGAAATCTACCATAGTTTGTTTTTTTTCAAACCTTCTCATTTTGACTAGTTTTTTCTTGTTTGCTCATTTTTGTGAATTCCTCTTTTGTATATAGCGTTATGTCATATTCTGAGTGAGAATTCCATTATCTTAAGTCTTTGGGGTCTAAATCTACCATTTATTACCTGTTTACTCTCACTCATGGGTACTTATCTCATTACAGGTTAAACGGACTCTAAGTATTAATCCATGTATTTAGATAATGTTAATTTGTAGAAAATAATCAAGAGACCTAAGTTGCAAATGTTTTTTTCCAAAAAGAATTTTGGTTTGCTTCTTCTGGGGGCCAGGGTAATACTGAACTAGGACCATTTCAACTTCTTCCAAGATTTTTGGTAGCACTTATAATGACATTGAGCAATATGCCCTTCATGTGTGCTTATTGCTTAAGAGTTCAGGTTTCATCTCTGGCTTTTTTCCTCACTTATTAGGTTAGTTCCTTAGAAATTACCTTCACTTTCTATGAACCCAGCAATGCAAGATAAATTATGCTTTATCTAGGCTCTTATCTTTTGGCAGGAGGACTCTCCAGAGTATCTAGAAGTTAACATCCACAGTAACCTAACACAGTGTCTTTATCCAGCACAATATACTTACTTTAAAATAATGTTCAGATTTATTTTCATTTTTACTTAAGAGTGATTTTTTTTTCTACTTATTCATAATTTTGTTGGTGGTCTTAGTTTTGATTTTCCTGTATTTTTTTTTTTTTTAAGATTTTATTTATTTGCGAGAGAGAGAATGAGAGACAGAGAGCATGAGAGGGAGGAGGGTCAGAGGGAGAAGCAGACTCCCTGCCGAGCAGGGAGCCCGATGCGGTACTCGATCCCGAGACTCCAGGATCATGACCTGAGCCGAAGGCAGCCGCTTAACCGACTGAGCCACCCAGGTGCCCGATTTTCCTATATTTTAGGACTTGATTTGCAGGATCTTTTTTTTTAAAGATTTTATTTATTTATTTGAGAGAGAGAGAGCACAAGAAGGAGGAGTGGCAGAGGGAGAGGGAGAAGCAGGCTCCCTGCTGAGCAGGGAGCCCAATGCAGGACTTGATCCCAGGACTCTGGGATCATGACCTGAGCCGAAAGCAGAAACTTAACTGACTTAGTCACCCAGGCGACCCTTACAGATCATTTTTTTTTTAAAAAACATTTTATTTATTTATTTGACAGAGAGAGACACAGCGAGAGAGGGAACACAAGCAGGGGAAGTGGGAGAGGGAGAAGCAGGCTTCCCGCTGAGCAGGGAGCCCGATGCGGGGCTCGATCCCAGGACCCTGGGATCATGACCT